CTCAAAACTCAATATTTAAAAAGTTCAGTTAGAAAATAGTCAAAATATATGCAGGGACATTTCCAGGAAGAGAATATAAAGATGACAAAGAAAGGCTTGGAAAGATGTTTAACATCATTACTCATTACAGAAACATAATTTTAAACCACAGTGAGTTATCACTAGTATTGTTGTCTGAATGTCTGTGTTGCTTCAAAATTTATATGCCATAACTCTAAGCTCCCAAAGAGTTGAAGCCTTTGAAAAGCAATTAGGTCATGAATGGAACTCAAGCCCTTATGAAATAGGTCCTTTCCCCACATGGGGACACAGAAGGAGGCACTGTCTGTGAACCCTCCTCAAACACGGAATTGGCCAGCATCTCAGTCTCCAGACTATGATAAATAAACTTTTGCAATGTATAAGACTCCCAGTTAAAATAGCACAAATAAACTAAGACAACAGGATGTCTATCAACATGACTAAAATGAAATATAACTATAATATCAAATACTGGTGAGGATGCAGAGAAACTGCTGATAGAAATACTCTAGAAAATAGCTTGATAGGTCCCCTCAAAATTAAAAATAAATGTACCTTACAACCCACCAGTTGCAGTTTTGGACAACTTTCCCAGAAAAATGAAAATTGATTTTTACATAGGCACTTATATATGAATGTTCATAGCAGATTTATTCATAACAGTTCAGGACTGAAATCTACCCACATGTCCAATAGTTCAACAAACCACAGTGCATTTATGCCATGGAATACTATTCAATGATAAATGGAGGAAGAAGGTAAACCTCTTAGAAGAGAAATTTTGGGTGGTTCCAATTATAGGAGGTACGCACAGTAGTCAAACAAGGAAAGGGGAGGTGTTTAATGTGTGTAGTTTCATTTTTTTCACAATGAAAACCTGGAGATCTATTGCAAACAATGTGAATGTATTTGACACTACTGAACTATATACTTGAAGTGGTTAAGATTTTATGTTATATGTATTTTAGTATACTTAAAAATACCTCTAAATAATTTAAAAGTGTATTTATTGGGATAAAACTGTTGGAATGCTGTCTATTGTCTGCTAACAGTATTGTATTAAAGTTAACATTTTACTTTTAGTAATTGTTCCACAGTTCTACAAGGTGTTAATGTTAGGGAAAGCTCAGTGAAGGCATTAAGTAGAACTCTGTGTTGTTTTTGCAACTTTTTGGTAAGTCTAAAATAATTCAAAATCACAGTGTTAAAAAGGCAAGTCTTCTGTTCATAAGAATTCTAAATATTTTATGAAGATGTTCAACCTTTGAGGAGGTGGAGTTTATCCCTATACTACTTCAGTTGGGTGCTACATAGTGACTTCATTCCAAAATACTCTATGAAAAGGGGCCAAAAAAAAGGGTGGGGGGTCCTTACAATGAAGAAACTGGATAGTCACTCCCTCAGCCAGGTGTCAAGGTTAACAGCAGCCGTGACACTTTAATACTATGGGTCCCTGATAGGATGCAATGTTCCCTCTGTAATCATGCTATCAAAAACATATGACCCCAGCGTAATAATGAGGAAAACATCAGAGAAATCCCAATAGAGGGACACTCCAGAAACAGTGGACCAATGCCCCTCAAAGCTGTCAAGTTCTTCACAAACACAGTAATTCTGAAAACTGTCATTACCGAAAGAAACCAGCAGAGACATGAGAATTAAATGCAATGTGGTATTTTGGATCAGAAACAGGAAATAGGGCATCTAAATAAAGTATGGACTTCAGCTAATAATAATGTGATCACATTTTTTCATGATTTGTAACAAATGTACTCTACTATTATTCAAATGCTAATGGAAAGGAAAAACTAGGTTCAGGGTTCATAAGAACTCTCTGTACTATCTTCACAACTTTTTTTTTTTTTAAGATTTATTTATTTATTTGAAAGTCAGAGTTACAGAGAAAGAGGAGTGGCAGAGAGAGAGAGGTCTTCCATCTGCTGGTTCACTCCCCAATTGGCTAGAAGCTGGCTCTACTTTCAAGAGATAAACAGGAAGCCTTGAAGCATATTTGAAAGGCTCTATTCTCACAAAAGTGAAAAATGACAAAAATGATGAACAACTGAGCATAAGACACAGCCAGGATGCACGACTCACCAATGAGACTGTAACCTTGATTTTAGCACCATCTCCCCTTTTAGCCATGTCCCCTTGTGCAGGGAACCACTTGAGCAACCTTATATGGCTGCTGTCGTTGAGAATTCTAACTTGTCACATGTGGAACTGTTAAGTACAGTTGGTGGTACAAGAGAAGTGTGTGGATCACATTCATGAAATTTCTTGGAGGTGAGCTTTGAATTAAAGATGGCTAGAATGTGGATAGGCAGAGAATGGGGGGAAATCCAGGGTCTTGATGCAATTTTTCTCAATGAGGCTTTGTCGTTCTGGCTCATCCTTACATCTTGGGTACTTGGCAATGTTCAAGCAGGGAAGAAAGGGAGGAAGAATGGTGGGGGGACAACAGGAAGGGAAGAAGGAAGAATAAAGAAGGAAGGATGGACTTATTGTACATCCTCATTCTATTTTTTCATTACTTTCCCGCTTACTTTCACATATCTCAATTGTATCAGGATAGGCTACTAGGCTGAGGTCAGGATCCCAGTCCGCCAATGGTTTTGCAAATAGTGGGGGATAAAGTTGGAAATTAAAAGAGGGCCTGTTTGGAAGGTACAAAGATGATAGACTCAGAAACCTTGAGACTTGAAGAACCTTGTAGGTATCACTGAAATTTCAGCTCCCATTTTGCAAAATAGACAGGTGAGATTCAAATAAATTGCGCTTCTGAGCAGAGTTCTTTAGTGATCAAGCAGGAAAACAATCCATGTCTCTTGACTCTTATTCCAGTACTCTGTCCACTGAAAAGAAGATAAATAAATTTTAAAATATCAAGCTTAATAATGAGAGAATATGTGTGGTTTCTAACTCTTGAGATTTTAACATTTCTTGTTGGTTACTTCCCAATTTCACCATATGTGAATGTGAATAACATTTTGGAGCCAGTTTTTCCTTTAATTCATCCTGGAAATAAAAGTTCTTGTGACAGCAAAGTGTGTTGCCATAGTTTTATAACAATTAAAAATCTGGATAGTGGCATAAAAGTGAAAGTGTTGGTAATAAGAAACAGTGAAAATGCACACTTTTGCACACTGCTCTTTTCCACTTTCCCAATTCCTTTCAGACCTATTCATTATCTCCCCTGACCTACAGAGAGCAATTTATAGCCTGGAGCATATCCTTTAGCTTTGCTTGCAGCCCATTGTCCTCTCCCTGTGGCTTGCTTGACAGATTCTTGGAGTGGTAACTGATGGCCAACATCCCCACCCTCTCACTACTACCTACTACCTTGGTGAGCTCACAGAGCCTCAAGGCATGTATCTGACAATGGAAAGTGGTAGGAAAAGTCAAAACACCTTTTTGCCCTTTAGTTTCAAATGCCTACAAAATTGGGAGATAGAAAGGACTTGGGAAATGGAAACAATTTGGAAGGAAGTTTGAGCGAGGCTTTCTAATACACCTCTTTCCTTCCTCTCCAGGTTAGAAAAACTTCCAAGCTTTGGATCTAACATTCTGCTATGATAGTAGAATGAAGATATTAAAATTAATAAAATTGAACTACAGAAAAAAATTAGAAATGTATATTCCTTCTACCTGTTTGTGGAATGAGATTCCTAACAGCCACATGTGTAGACACATCAAACTTTCCTAAAAATCTCTGTCAGCATACTGTAACTCTGCACGCTGATTAAAAATCCCAAAGTTGAGTCCACCCCATTCCCAGTCAACAGCTTTTTCTCTGCATGAGAAGCTGGCAGGAAGAGATTAGGGGAACCCTTGGAAGTCATTGCTGGTTTCAGAAATACCAATGGTCTAATGAGTTCGGGATAGAAACAGGACTGGATAGGGTTTGAAATTTTCCTGTTTCACGAAATGCAAAATGGCTGGCAGGACAGAAGAAAAGGGGAGCAAATTCTGCTTGTTAGAAGCTGCTGACTAAATCCTTTCCAGAATCTCAGGAGACTACTTATGATACAAGGGCTCCAGCCACCCTGAAGCTGCTCTAAGTATATCCTCATGGACTGCCACTCATTGCACCCTGCATGTCTTACTCCATGTAACACATATCCTGAAGATCACGATAAAGTGCTGGAAATCCTGAACGTCGTAATATGTGTCGCTGTGGGTCCAACTGATGGTGAGGGATGCGGAACTGCTCATAACATTTCTTGGTTATTTGGTTGGATTTTGCAAGAGGTTTATCCAAAGACTAGACAAAAAGTACCTAAATGTACCTATGTTTACACACAATCCAGGTAAAATGTGGAAAGTGTACTTTAAAATAGGCTACTAAAATCCATGTATAAATATTAACAGAAAGAGTGGGAAGAGAAGGAAGGGAAGAAGTGGGGGCTCCACCCCTTTTCTTTTTTTTGACTCTAGTCATATTCTGCTTGGAACTTCTGGTTCATTTTTAAGACATTCAGAGCAAGGACTTTCAGGGTAAACACTAAGTAGGTAAGAAAAAGCCGTCTGTGTTTATTAAATAGCTGTTCCTATCTTTTCTGCAAAACTCTAAGTCCAGCCAGGGATCGATCCATCCTTCAAATGTCTGACTTTATGGGATATTTAGTTAGAAAAGTTTAACTCCCATCCATAATGCTCTTCTAAAAATTAAGGACAGGACAAGTCTTCATCATCCTCTAGGATCCTTTGATTGCTTTCAGCAGAGGTCAGACTGCTTCTGTGATTCAGCCCTGGCTTGATGTCCAGGTGGTTCAATCTTCTCTGAATAGTTACGCAGTAAGTCAGACACAAAACTTGCCCACAACCTACTTCCTAGCGTCACACAAAAAGAAGTTGGGTCAGAATTTTGTCAATGATTCTTGTATCCAGTTGGTGTGAGCAAAGAACCCCAAATACTATTAAACTCCTTAGTGATGTGAACCAGATGGAAAATAAAACAAAAGAATTCACAACTCATGTTAGACTGAATTGAATGTCTTTAATTTCACACAATGAATAACATATGAATAGGATTAACTTTTTTTTTTAATAGTTAAGTGCTCTATACGGTGCTAACCTGATCTGGTAGCGAAAAAGACTGAGCTTTCTTTTAGAAAAAAATGTTTAAAACCCAACATCTAAGACCATGGAGGAGCATGGCAGTAAAGCATGCCAGATGTATCTACGCCTCAAATAACAGCAAGTCCATGTTCATTTTAAATGTACAAAAATGCTTTATGAATAAAAACTGTTACAAAAAGAACATTTCAAACAATGTACAATTTTCTTGCCTCTATATTCAATAAAATACAAATACATTTTTTGTTCTAAAATATGTTTACATACAATCAAAGTAGAACATGCAAATTACACTTTAAAAAAGGCTTTTAAAAACCACTTATGAATACAAACTAAAAATTAGCCAGCACGACTTGTAAGACAATCTTGTGCCCCATTTTTTTCTTTTGAAATATATATGTACATATTTAACACATCATGTGCATTTATTATTTAAGAAATAGATTTTTTTAAAAAGGAAGAAAAAGAAAGACTCCACCCAGGGTGCAACTGCCCTTCCCTGTTGACTAGTGGGCAGCTCTTTTCAATCCCCCCTCCCTCCCCATTAGTGTTTATTATACCTGGGCAAGCGGGCAATAGAAATCCAGGAAGTTTCTTCCTTGGTTGAAATGTGCTTCTAAGACTGTTCCCCAAATGACTAAGTCCAAGAGGGAAGGAAGACGCATCAGTGGCGTGAACTCTTCAAGAAACAAGAGGCAGAGGGAGCCTTGTATTGTGGAAAGAAACTTTTAGAAACACCAAGAAAATGCTACGGTATATTACAGTTTGTTTCTAGGCACTGTGATGACATTATCTGTAAGCTCTGGCATTTGGACCATTGTGATACTAGGGTAGTGTTGAGAAAAAAATGTCTATATTTATCTACTTTTACATAATGAGAAGGACTGAAGATCCGGCAACAGAACACTTAAATGGCTTTTGAGGCATTTCGACTTCTGCCACCCCCTCTCTCTCCATGCTGCAGTTGGCATTTAAAGGCTTTGGATATATCTGTATAGACTTTAGACAGTTCCCAGGAAAATCTTCCTAGTGATAGAGAAAAAAATATATTCTCCAAAAGCTCATTATCTGAATATTGTTGGGTGATAAGCTGGGAGTCGGATTTTCTGCTTAAGTCCAAACCCAAATCCTTTATGATCTGCATGTAGAACATCACCTGTACAATAATTCTGTCACCACTTGCTTATCATATTTATAGACCCAGCAATGTGCAGAGCACAAATTCTGCCTGCCACTGAACATGAACTCCCCCTTGAGACAGAAGCCAGGGAGACATGCTAATCTTCTGCCAGCCTGTAGTCACCTTTCCTGGGCTGTCAGTGGCTGCACACTCCAGGTCCTACCAAGTCAGAAACCAGCCCCTTAAATGTTCTCCTTTCCTTTGACCAGAGCCGGGCTATTTGAAGCAGGTCAACTTTTGTCCCTGTAGAGGGTGAAACGCAAGTGGGTCCCAACCACTTGGTAAGGTGGATTAAAAATCCAGGAGGCTGTTACATCTCATTTCATCTTTTTTCTCATCCCTAATCAAACTCCTTATATTATAAATGAGTCCACATCTGCTTGCTGAAGGCGAGTATATTTCAGAAAAAATAATGGCATGAAAATCAAGGGATTTCTCTTACAGAATATTTTGTGGAGCTGGCATCACAAATGCTCTCTGTCAAAATAAAAATGCAGCCCCAAAAGGCAGTATTGGGTGGCCAAAGACCTTTACAATCTGTTAGGAAAACTGGATTTTCTTTCTGGCCTGCAACCAACTAGATGTGACGCTAGACTGACCCAATGTGGGGTATGGACAGGAGAGGAGAGGCTAAAGAACAGGAATTAATTAGAGAATAAGGAAATGGCTACATCAGTGAAATGAGTTATGTTGAGGAAAAGCAGAAGAAAAATTGAGAAATTTAATACTGAGGCGGTGAAGAGGAATCTGTGTCATTGATTGGACTTGCTTCCACCTCCAAGTAATTGGTTAGCATGCCTCATCTTGGTAGTCTGCAACTTACCAATCTATTCTTAGGATCTATATGTAGAGAATTTGCATTTCACTCAAATGACCAGAGTCCCCAGTTCATGTGTGAATTGCAACTCTTGCTGTGTCTCTCCCAGAGTATCCTTCATTGGTTTGGAAATTCCTAAAGTTACTGGGATGTTACTCATTATTAGAAGATAATGCCAATTAAACTTTGGGTCCTCCTTTAAGAAGTTTCTAGAATGCCTGCAAGAAAATGTTGTGTCCTTAACAGGCTTAGCTGAGGAGACAGTACCAGGTGGGGAGCAAGAGAGGCCAGGACAGAACGAAAAGAATGGTTTTCACGATCCAACAGGAAGAGAAATCTCTGCATGGCTTAATTGGAATGAAAATGGTCAGCGATGGGGTGAGAGGGGCTAATTTAAACTTTCCCCTCTGGTGACTTTGGAGCCACTCACACGTGGCGTGAGAATGACAAATTGAAAATGACTGTTGTGATGTTGCTATTCAGCCTGTGTGAAATGGCAAAGGTTAACCGAGTCACAAACTGAGGGTCTCAGATATAAGCTTTAAAGTACAGTCCTATAAACTTAACATATCTCTAGAATTAAACACAACCGACCTAGTGGCAGCAAATGATGTCAGGTCCATAGTGACAGTGCAGAACGGGATGACTGTAATTTCCACCAACTGTTGGTGCCCTGACGGAGCTGTGATGTATGCAAACATATTAACTTGGGGTTTTGAAATTTACATCCATAGATATCCTATCACTTATTCTCTTATGCTTCTAACAAAAAAAAATCCACCTCTCTCTAAGGAAATAATATTGTGTTCTGAAGTGATAATATAATTTCCAGCTGGTCCCAACTTCCTGTAAAGAAACTTAATTTTGAGGTAAACCAGATATTCTAATTCCCAATAGAAAATTTAATTCTCTCTCTTCAGTGTCTCTCTTTCTATAATCTACCATGCCAGGTGTTTGATGTCTTGGGGAAGGTGAGGGGAGGAGTGAGGGAGGAAATTGAAAATACTTATTTGAAATTTCCACATCTGAATTGTTAAAAACATCTACGGCAATGGAATAACTTCATATTCATTCTGAGTCTTCATGTTTTACTTGGGCTGTGGAAATGGATAATAGTGATGGAATATCTGTTCACGCTAAACCAATGGCTAGAGTACAACTTGGATGAGAAATGTACAGTTGAAATTGACCATTTAAAAGACGATTTGTCACACACAGTTTGCATCCATGCAGACTGATAGATTTATAATTACATTATGTACAAAAATGTTTTAGTTTATTAAGGCAACCACAATTTGGATACTTTGTCCAAGGTGGCTTGATACAATTGGAGTGGTGACACCCTTTGAGAATTTTATTATTTTTTTTCAGTTAAGAACACTTACTCCCACTTGCTTTTTAAGAAATAATTATCAAGAGACAATGGACTTCTATTGTCTTTCTGTTTCCTTTTTCTGACAATCCATGATAGTTGTTTGAATGAAATAAAAAAAAATCACATACCGAGGCATTGCTAGACACATGTCTTTCTGGTGGGTCTGGGGTTTCAGTATTTGGTGGTTTGTTAAGTTATTCCATTTGCTGTGGGGTATGACAGCCATTTTATTCTGCCTATTCTCTGCCGATATGTTTTAAGGATGAAAACAACCTGGTTGACACCTGGGTCAACATATCCTTGGCTACTCACTTGCTAAAAGGTCTCTATCAATACCTATTATCTGTTTCACAACGATTGTTATTCAGAGCCAGGTATCCTCGGGACAGCAGGCCAAGGGCGAACTTTACAACACAGGTACCGGTTTACTCGACCTCGATGTGTACCATGAAAGAGGCGGCAGCAAGCGCATTGATGGAAAGATACATACATGAAAGTACAACAGGCAAAGGAAAAGCAGGAACAGACGATGCTAAAACTCCGTGTGTCTGCACCAGAGGATATGAAAGCAGGGCTAAGGTCACCCATCACTAGAATTCCACCTTCCATCACAGGATTCCATCTAAGGAACTGTACTGTTAACGGAAAGATACAGGTCACCCGGAGACGAGGTTGGGGCCTCAAAGCCTAGCACAGCTTGAAAACCAACAGAAAGAAAATAAAAACCAATGAAACGGAAGTGGGTTACCTCAAAGCCAGTCGAGAAATTTGCAGCTTTTCTCCCCTTGGAATGTTTCCCAATTGAAGGTGTTTCCCTTTCGATTTTCCCGGCCAGCAAAAGACATGGGATTCCAGGGCCCATCTGGGACGAGGGCCATCAGGCGGCCGTCTCCTCCCGGATGGGGCTGGGCTCACCTGTCCGCATCCCGCCACGCTAAAGCGCCGCGGTGCTGGGAACTCCCGGACTGCACAGACCCGCGTTCCCCGCGTCGCGTGGCTCGCCCCAGGGCCCCTGGAGGCTCAGCCCCGACGTCTGGCCAGCTAGCTGCAGAGAAGGGCTTGGGTGTCCCTGCTAGGGTGGAGGGTGCGCCCCACCCGGCTCGCTGCACCTGCGACGCCTCAGTCCCCCGCCCCAGGTGCGCACGCACACACCCACCCTAGGGAAGGACATCACTCTCGCTCCCTCGGGACTTCCTCTGCCGTTTGGCCTTCACCTCCTCCTCCTGGGGAAGGGGCTGCGGCGCGGGCGGAGGCTGTGGCGGCTGCGCGGGAGGCTGCGGTCTGTGTCTCCTCTTCCCGCCCCGGGGCGTCTTGGGCAGCGGCGGCGGTGGGGGCGGCGGCGGCGGCGGGGGCGGCGGCAACGGGGGCGGCGGCGGCGGCGGCAGCGGGGGCGCCTCCCGGGCCATGTGGATGACCGCCTCGATGGTGGCCATGACCGCGTCCTGGCCGGCGGCGGGCTCCAGCGCCAGCGGGCTCAGGCTGGGTTTCTGACCCCGCTTGCTGGGCAGGTCGACGCACTTTTCCAGCACCGGCATTTGGTCTCTGGAGTCCTCGTCGAACTGGGTGGGCTGCTTTCGCGGCCGCCCGCGCCGCTTCTTGACAAAGTTGTTGCCTGTCTTTGATTGTCTCTGCAGCCGCTTGGCCTTCAGGATCTTGTTCACGTGGTCCAAGTTCTTCTTGGTGGACAGAATCTTGGTGTAGTTGCACATCTTCCGCACCTCGCACTGGATGGCTTCGATCTCCTGCCGTTTGAACCGCTTCTTCAGGGAGCAGCTGGCTGCAGGAGGAGAGAGGAGCCAAAGTGAGCGGGGATGCGAGCTGCCTTAAGCCCAGCCAGACCTTCCCACCACGGGAAGCATGAGGAACTAATGCTACGGTTTGTCGTGCACCCCCCACTCAACTCTCTTTGGTTCTTCATTAAAGCGAACAGCAATAAAAAATAAGTACTAGTTGAATATAATGTCTATACAACAGTTCTGTTGACATTATTGCCACCCTCACAACTATGACAGCGAAACACTGCTGTTTCCATTTCCATTTTAGAGATGTAGAAACAGAGGCTTGAGGCGACCTGCCCTGGAGCACGGGGGTCAGGGCAGAACTACAATGTAAATTTACCCATCTTACCGTTGTATTCAAGCCATTTGACGTTTGTCCTGATCCAGTGTAGCAATGCATCATGCTTTTTTTTTTTTTTTTTTTTTTTTGATGCTGCACCAATCAAAGGGCATGCAACCCTACATTTCAAACAATCTGGATCCGTCCAACTTGTGATCAACGTCTTGGAAGGGGTGCCCGGACCTGACCTAGACTGTGCGACTGAATTACTTTATTGCTACACCCCCCCACCCCCAACGAGGGAAGATTACTTTCTGGAACACTGGAGTTGGGAGGGCACTATCTGCACATGTCACCCTCCACCCCCACCGTCACCCCACCCCACCCCCATGTTCCGGACCCATCCATTTGCCTGATGCCATGCAATTAATTAATTCCTCTTTAACCAGTTCATTTCTGGAATGCCCAAGGGAAATACCAGCCAGGTGTTTCCAAGTGGGTTACACTTCCCCTACGGGGCTGCTGTTTGCCAAGAGCTCTTTTGATGTCCTGGTGGCCAGATGCACCTCTGTTTTACGAGCCGGACTTCTCAGGAAGTCCTGTGCTGCTGCCACTAAATGGCCTTCAGAAGTGCTTCGTTTTTGAAGTTCAGACACCATAAAGTGTGAATGGCTTCAAGACATACACAGCAGACCTTCCCCTCCTTTAAATCATTCTTTCTCCTTTTGTGGTTTAGGGGCAGGCATGTGTACATTTCTGCGTGTGTGTGCACACACACGACATACATTCATAGTCCAGCGCCCCAAGGCTCTTCCCTGTGACCATTTGTACACTTAAGAAATGCATCCCCACTGAATTCTTTGGTGCTGTGGTTTATCCTACAGAATGAACCCCAAAGAGCTCACATAGAAGACCCAGGCCTAGAGGGCAGAATGGTTTTGGTTCAGCATCTGGGTTGTTGCAGCCCCCATTATTTTTCTTACCTACTCGTAGAGAAACAGAATAATTATCTTAAGGGAGAGCAGGAAAAGCAGGTTTTCAACATGGACAGCACTCTCACTTTTCTTGGGTACTCCCACTTCATTCTTTCCCCAGCTTTGCCCCGTTTCTCCCTCATGCTGTGCCCATCACAGACCTCCAGAAGGGTTGCATTTGAAGTTATTTATGCCACGAGCTTCATGGAGTGGGAAGCGCTGAGTTCCACAGGCCAGGTCACAATGCGACTGCTTTTGGCCAAAGGTCAGCAAGACTGACTGAGCAATGAATAACTACTGAATGGTCTTTAAAATACGTTCTAAAGAGCAACACAGAACAAAGGCAGAGTGATCTTCTATCAAAATAAAATTTTTGTAGTTAGTCTTGTGAAAAGAAATGGTTGCTTGATTTTAAGTTCTCAGATGCTAGGACCCATTCTTGTCTGTCTTTATGTCCATCACAGGGGCCTAGCATGGTGCCTCTTCCACAGCAAGGACTGAAACATTGTTTCTGGACTCACAAATTGGAGCCATTCATTGCTGCCTTACAGCCATATTCTCTAAAGGGTTCCAGTTTGGATTTTAAAGTTACTGTTGCAAATACAGTGCCACTAAGAGTTAGCAAGCCTCCTCATCAGAGACAGGTAATTTAGTTCATAAGTAAATGAAAACCAGCCAAAAATACTCAGTGACACCCTCTGGCATTATTCCAAATACAGTTTCTCCACACAGTTCTTACTCTCCTCAGTTTATGTTACCCAAAGAGAAATAAAACACTAAGTGATAACTGATACAGAATACAAGGATCTAGTACATCAGCTCCTGGCAATTTCTGACCCAAGAAAGCTTCACTGAAACACTCCATGAGATGGAGGTCCTTTGGGGAAAGAGAACCACTGAATTGTCCCTCTCTGGGTTTTCTTTTTGGACTGAAATACCAACAAAGACCCCCCCTAAAAATCAAAACAACACAAAACAGAAAAGGCCAAAACTAAAATGAAAATCAAATAAAAACCTAGTCAATGACATTCAAATATTCACACATTTGCTTTATGCTCATATTTTTGTTGTTGAAATAAATTATGGGGTAAAAAATTAATTCTATCCATGTAAATCCACCAAATAATACTAAAAAGCTTGTGTCTAACTCTTTTGCACTCACCATTCACATTGAACAAATGTTGACTTTTTGTTAATATTTGCTGTCTTTTTTTCAAAGAAACAAAGCATGGATTTAACCAAATCATTGCTCTCCATTCCCTTCCTTTCCCTTTTCATGCTTGCATTTATACTTTGTTGCTCATATGTGGACCCATATTGGTAGAAAATAAATGCTGGTAATGATGTAAGGAAGGGGAACTACAAGCAGGCTGCTGGCTGGAGTGTGAACTGGGATAATCTCTTGGGAGAACAATTGGGCAATAACTGTTGGAGTTGAAGATGTACGTGTTCAGTGCCCTAGCAACTCCATGTCAACAATGCCTTCTTTTGTCATTTGTGATGGCAGACAAAAGACATGGAAGGACTTTGCTTGAAGCTCAGTCTATGTTATGGAAAACTGAAAACACTCTAAATGCTAATTAAAAGAGTAATGAATCAGGACCTGTGCTATGGCGTAGTGGGTAAAGTTGCTGCCTGTGGTGCCAGCATCCCAAATGGGGCCACTTTGAATCTTGGCTGTGCCACTTCCAATCCAGTGCCCTGCTACTGCACCTGGGAAAGCAGCAAAAGATGGCCCAAGTGCTTGGGTCCCTGCACCCATGGGGGTGACCTGAAGGAAGCTCTTGGCTCCTAGCTTTGGATGGGCCCAGCTCTGGCTGTTGCAGCCATTTGGGGAGTGAACAATAGATAGATGACTTCTCCCTCTCTCCCTCTCCTAGCCCCCACCCTGTAACTCTGCCTTTCAAATAAATAAATAATTTTTTAAAAAAATAATGTATCATTCAAATAGAATCTCATACATCTCTAAAAATGAATAGGCCACATATAAATACCTCAACATGGTTAAATAAAAAAAGTTTAGTAAATAAACAAATTACAGAAGTGATTCTAAAACACTTACGTAAATTTCAGAGCACAGAGAGATCCCCTGAATTTTTGTTTCACCTTTCATGTCCAGTGGTGGAGGTTTAAAGTGACTACTGTGTGCTGCAGAGGAGGTTTCTATAGGGTAGTTTCTCTCCAAATTACCCTATAGAACTGTACTAAGCCTCCAGAGTAGGGTTGGCCAACAGAATTACCTGCAATGGTAGAAACTGTGCTGTTTTCTGTGCACTTACTCCCCATATAGGATCTCTGTCCTTAATGTGTTGTACAATGTGAATTAATGCTATAACTAGTACTCAAACAGTACTTTACACTTTGTGTTTCTGTGTGGGTGCAAACTGTTGAAATCTTTACTTCAGATATACTAAATTGATCTTCTGTATATGAAGATAATTGAAAATGAATCTTGATGTGAATGGAATGGGAGAGGGAGCGGGAGATGGGAGGGTTGCGGGGGGGACGGAAGTTATAGGGGGGAAGCCACTGTAATCCAAAAGCTGTACTTTGGACATTTATATTTATTAAATAAAAGTTAAAAAAAAAAGAAATTGTGCTGTTCTACCATAACATTTAGCCATATATAGCTAACAAGCACTTCATATGTGGTAAGTGTGGTTGGGAAACTGGATTTTTAAATTAAATTAAATTTTAATTTTTATTAGCTACATGCTACTAGTGGCTACCATATCAAGCAGCCAAGCTCTGGACATAATCATCTGGAAATACAGAGTATATACATGGAGATTCATTCATTCAAATGTAGGCTGTGGAAAACTCTAGGCAAACAACTTCGGGTCTCTATTAAACAAATGGCAGGTGTGGTGAAAGGAAAAAATGTAAATTAAAAGAGACTGAAGGGGCTAGCTTTGTGTTGCAGCTAATAAAGCCGCTACCTGTGATGGCAGCATCCCATATGGGCATTGGTTCAAGTCTCAGCTGCTCTACTTCTGATTCAGCTCCCTGCTAATGTCCTGGGAAAATAGCAGAAGATGGCCCAAGTCCTTGGACCCCTGCCACCCATATGGCTGATCCTGAAGCAGCTCCTGGCTCCTGGCTCCTGCCCCAATCCTGGCCATTGTAGCCATTTGAGGAATGAACCAGGGATGGAAGATCTCTACCGCTATCTCTCCCTCTCTGTAATTCTGGCTTTCAAGTAATAAAAAAATCTTTAAAAAAGTAGACTGAAGATATGAAATGACCTATCTGGATGCCAATTTCAACAAATTGCTAAAAGAGATCATGAAATAAGAGGAAATTTGAGTAAGGTATTTTATCATATTATATGTTATTAATTTTCATAGGAGGGATCTTTGTATTGTGATCATGTCTTCTTATGGGCACCTATCTTTTAGAAAGAAAATATTTACAAATAAAATCATGAAATCATATGGTATTGGTTTTAAAATAATATGAAATAAAGAGGGAGGTGGAAGAATTGATGAAACAAGCTTCAATGAGTTGGAGATGGTTGAAACTGGATGGGTACATGAGTTTTATTCATGGAATTCTGCCTACTTTGGTATATGCTTGACATTCTCCATAATACAAGATTAAAAAATTATAAATGGTAAGTGGCAATACAATTATCTTTCTTTGAGTCCTAAGACTCTCTGAGAGTGCTCTGGTTTCCATCCTTTTAGGGCTTCTATTTCACTTAAATAATGTCAGAAGGGTGAGAGACATGCATTCATCTCACTTG